GGACAAAGATCTCGACAAACATTAAGTTTGATTAAACATTTGATTAAAAATATAAATGATGTGAGTATTGCACTAAACTCTGGCATCACTAACGAAGTGTCTGACAATTTGTGGAAACCAACGGATAATCAAACATAATATTGAGCCGTAAGAATATTCTGTATATTATTTTTGCTTTTATTTTTTAATACAATTTTTGAAATTTAATGTAATTTAGTATTAAAATATATAAATGTTGATAACTCAAAACTATACAGTAATTACAAAATTGAGTTTTGAATATTTAATACAATTTGTAGCAATTGTTAGATTACGTAATCGATGGCTAAAAAGTTATATAATAGTGAGTCTCGGGATTGACAGATGACAGGAGGGGACTGTTAGGCAATGCAAACGTCACTAAACGAAAACATAATGTAAATGTATGAGAAAAACATGCGATTAAAGCAGAAAATAGGTTAAAACACATAAAAACGTGTTGAAAATTGTTTATACGGACAAAAATATATAGTGAAACAGTTTTAAAGGAAGAGAGAGAGATGAGAGGGAGAAAACATTTTATTAATAACTCATTTGTATATAAATATAATTTAAGTTTAGTTGTCGAGAAATACACGATGCCAAACAATTTAACAGAATAAGTGCCCGAAAAACCACCATGATTAGTTTCATATAAGTTATGTTTTATTTAATAATTTGCATAATCGGTATTGAAGTTTGATCACACATAACATAAACTATAAGGTAATTTGAAATGAACATGTTTAACATGTTTAGCATTGAAAATGTGTTGTCGAGTATTAAAAATTCAGTAAAGCGTTGATTGCATACAAAACTCAAGAATTGATGCAATAATCGTTGGATACGTTTCGTGTCTCTCATAATACTCTCCACTGTATTATTGTATCAATTATTATGTGATATGCGATAGAAATATATAGAGTTTGTACCAAATATTGCATTTCAATTCACTAAAGTTTATTCACTATTATATAATATACACTATACTATAGTATGTAGTGTTAAGCGATTGTATTGTACGTAAAGATTATTAATGATTATCACTTTGACAATAATCTCACGATTATTATAACCAGTTATAACTATTGGATGAATTGCACTAATTTAATACTCACCAAATGGTTTGTATATGATCCAAAATTATACATTGGTCATTTTATGTGCTATTTGTTGACATTCTTAAAACCCTTTACCTCGATTCAAACTCATCCATAATTACATAATTAATTCATTATTTCATCATTTATTTTGTGTAATATTTGGCGATTATTTGCTCTCAAAACAAATCATTTTGAGTTTTTTAGTGCAAAAAAGTGTGAGACATATATTTATCACACATTTCTGTGTTTAATAAATAAATTACTCATTAATTATAAATTTTTACCATTAATTTGTGATTTAGTTTTCGAGTCAAAAATTGTATATTTTGTGTGATTTTAATTACATTTTCATTTGTAATCTCCTTATAGTTGAGGAAAAGTTGACAAAAGCTAAGGAAAAGTTTGTGTGAAAATTATCTGAAGAATAATCGCCTGAGAAGTGGAAGAATGGGTCAGAGTTTAGAGAAACCAAAGACTGAGAAACAGACGGACGAGGGGTCGGGTAATGGCCTGAAGTATGGGTTCAGTTCAATGCAAGGCTGGCGGCTGAAGATGGAGGACAGACACTGTGTTCAGGTAGGACTGGAACAGCTCAAGGACTGGAGCTTCTTCGCCGTGTTTGACGGCCACGCGGGCGCCAAAGTGGCCGGAATTTGCGCAGAAAAACTGTTGAACACAATCACGCAATCGAAACACTTCCAGAAGAATGTGTCCGAACTGAACGACACGCTGTCCACGACTCAGATCGACTCTGTGGTCACTTCTATTAAGGATGGCTTCTTAGACTTGGACGAGAAGATGAAGACCTCGTACCCAGACTTGATGTCCGGAGAGGACAAGAGCGGCACGACTGCCATCTGTGCCCTCATATCAAAGAGCCATCTGTTTATCGCCAATTTGGGTGACTCGCGGGCCGTCCTCTGCCGCTCGGGTGCCGTCTATTTTTCGACCGAAGACCACAAACCGAATAATCCAGAAGAGAGACAACGGATAGTAGAGGCCGGCGGTAATGTCATGATCTCGCGAGTGAACGGATCTCTAGCTGTTTCGCGAGCGTTGGGTGACTATGAATATAAACAGGTGGCCAATAAGCCCTCCACAGAACAACTGGTCTCTCCCTTACCGGAAGTCACTGTTAAATCCAAGAACAAGACCGACGAGTTCTTAGTGCTGGCCTGCGATGGCATATGGGATGTGATGACAAACGAGGACTTGTATTCGTACGTCAGATACCAATTGGCGATCGAAGAAAATCTGGGAACCATTTGTTCCAATGTTATCGACACATGTCTTCATAAGGGGAGTAAAGATAACATGAGTTTGTTTTTGGTGACGTTCGCGGGCGCGCCCGCAGTCACCGCAGATGCCAAGGCCAGGGACCAGAAGCTGGACCATCAGATTGTGGCCAAAGTGGAGGAATTGGTCGGTAAGAACAACGATGAGTACAGTTTCTCGGACCTAATGGACGACTTGACTGTCATGGAGTGGAAGGATTTGCCGCCCGGCGGCGGACTTCAGGCCAAACATCAGGTCATTGAAGAGACTTTTAAGAAATTATCCAAATATTCAAATTCAGACTCAGAGACGAGAGAAACGAGTGCTTTAAGTGATAAGACCAGCAATTAATTAGACGTTTCATTATCGAAAGGCACTGTTTTTGTTAATATTTTGGTTAATCAAAAGTGCATTCACTCTGCGCTAACCCCCGCCCCCACCCGTACTTTGGACACCGATTTACACATTAAATAGTGCTATAATTTACTCCTTAAATGTTGAGACGGTTTAATGACTGGAAGTGTTGCTATTTTTTTTGTCGTTAATATACACGCCTTAACCATAATGTTAAGAAAAATGTGATCTTTTTCTGCTAATCTAATCATTGATGAAAATGTTGGATACAATTTGTTGTCCGCATACTCTTTGAACACATTTTGTAGTCTTCTGGATGTGTTTTATGTATGTGTCGTGTCTTAACGCTAAACGCATTGGACTATAAATTATGTTTTGCTATTCATTTAATGTTACTTTTAATTAATAATAAAATTTGTGATCGAAATTTGAACATAACTTTTTAATAATCATTTCTGTTTTGTATTCAACGCATCGGTTGTGTTGAAAGAGATTTAAATATTTGCCTTTCGTTTTTGCGAATAGTTTTATTTGTTAATAATTTATAGTTTTTTGTTTAAATTGTTTTTAAATTGATCCCGGTGTTTGTTTTATGAGTTTACTGTATTTACAACATAATAATATTGTCTCAATTCTATCCCTTGCAGAGTGTGTTTCTTTTGTCTTATTTTATGTTTATTTTTGATTCATTTTTTCAAATTGTCTTAAATTGTATTTTAAGTTTTCAATTGTTTTATGATTTATTTCGCAAAAATGTATTTCTATAGTGATTTTGATTGCCTTTTGGTTTTATATATGACGTCTTGTGAATAATAATTACTTAACTATTGATTACAATAATAATAAAGTTATAATTAAATATTTTCAATTACAATCAAAATGTTATGATTATTATATAATTACATCTATTGTTAATATTATTAATAATTAATCATTATATTAAACTTTTGAAATGTTGTATATTATTTGGTATTTTGTTTTATTAAATATTTATTTATACAAAAAAATATTTTAATTGTGACAATAAATAAAGAGACGACAAATTATTTAATCAAATGACAAGATATTGATTAATAAATCTATGGAAACAATAAATTTCTGAAGTGATTGTATAAAGAATTTTGAATTTTACTATTTATTGTTTGTGATAATAAATAAATGATAATAAGAAACAACTCTTATAATCAGTTTAACAACAATTGTTGTAAACAATAATAATAGTAAAGGAAATGAAGTGATGCAAAGAATTTGTGTGTTTTGTTTGAGATTACAAATAATGATCACAAATGCAATTCACTCCCAATTCTTGCATATACCAAATGAACATGTGCAATTAACATGTGTAAACCAATGTAATTAACAAGATAATGTTTTTAATCGGAAGGATAACCAACAGTTGGCAGTTGTATCGTATGCCATGAATATGCATATAATTACAGCAACTGATACTACAATACAAATTCTGTATATTCGAATTTAGATTAAATTTCACTTTAAGATGATCTTGCAACTTTTTAAAGTGGTATTTCCCGATAATAATTTTAGGCAATAATCTTGATAAAACTTATTTTAGTTTATCAACAAAGTCTTAGATCAAAACATCATTATTAATGATAACTTATAAATATTTCAACAAATAAGTCATTACATATTGTGCCGACACTGCAATCATTAAAATAATAATTCAATTCATATATTAATATTTAATTCTTGTTTTATTTTTGTTTTGTCGTATTATATAATACAAAAGCATTTGTTATTTTGTGATTTATTAAATAACAATTCATTCAATACATATACGGAATTTGTTTGTGAAATAATGGCAACAGAAATATATTTGAATTGAAAAACAAAATCTGATTGAATTTGTGAAGATTTGATGTTTTGATTATTTATTGTATTAATTGAAGATAACTATGATTTGAATGAAACAACATTGCATTTACAGTAAGAAATCTCTTTTATTGTTTATTTTTTCATTCACTAACAAATTAATATTCTTTATAAGAATAATAAATTATAATATTTTTATTTTAATAATTGCCAAATTTCAAAATAACTTATGTTTTACATTGAATTTTGTTTGTAATTTGCGATTAAATTGAAAATAATATGTAATGCAATAATTTTTATTCAAAAATTTTTGTAAAAATATCTTTTAAATAACTATTGGCTTAAGAACTGGACATATGGTGGCCAACCATTCCGCAGCTTTTGATTTGCAAATATCTCGGTATCTGAACAGACATTTCGGCCATTCGTCTCAAGAGGTGAGCCCTTTTGTATTTCAGAAGACCCAATCGGAACACTCGGTGTCGATCGGCCAGAGTCTCGGTTATGAACTCATATACGAACTCGAGTTTCACTATAAATGTATGAATGCAGAGCTGATCCAAGCGTTTGCACAGATGAATGGCTCTCAAGAGGTTGTCTTCGTTGTCTCCGAATGTCAGTGCTTTTAGTTTTGGGTGATTTGCCACTGAAGTCATAAATCTTTGACAGCACTTCTTTAAACACTCTTCTTCGGGATCTATTGAATGGCCACAATCGACGTGACAATTGATTTCATCGAGAGATAATTGACGCAAATTTGGCACTACTTTCGCCAATTGTGACCACATTTCTGGTGAACACTTAATGCCATAAAGACTGAGTGACCGAAGACTAGTCAATGGTGTCATTGATGTCGTGTTGAAAGACATGGAATTAGATGAATGAGAAAGGATTGCCAAATGTCTTATATTTGGTAACTTTGCGATTCTTTCGGCGAATACTTGGCCCGGAATCCACGCCAATTGAATGGTCAGACTCTCGACATTCTTCAGACGGTCGCAGATAATGACAAACCGTTCGCCAAATCCATTGTCTACAAAGAAGTCGTAGTGCCTCTCAATGGGAGAAATGAGTGACAGTTCTTGTATTTGATGGCATTTTGTGGTCAGACTGTCAATGGATTGCGTGTCAAACGTATTCCTCATTACTTTCAGTGACCGGATGTTTGGCGGCAGACAATCGACGAGTAGAACCGATGAAATGGACATGTAATAAATGTCAAGACTTTGAAGAGATATCATCTCTCGTATGATATTTGCCATATGTGTCACGTATTTCTCATCGATATAACCAATTGTTATGTGTCTGACATTTTCCAACAGTTGTGCCCATTGTTTGGCTGTATATCTCTTCATATCGTTCTTAAAGAAAGGGAACTCAAAGAAGCAAATTTCCCGAAGTTGTGGCAAATGTTTGACAATGGCTTCCATTGTCTCAAATGTGATTCTAGTGCGTCGGATGTATAATCTCTGAACTTGTGGTAACTTCTTGAGCACTGGGACGTTGTCTTCGCTGTCTTTGCCGTTAAACCCGTTACTGATATCAATAGCCTTCAGATCAATAGAGCCAGTGATGTATTTGACGTGTACTTCCTTAATATAGTCCGGGCGGTCGTCAAATCCAATGGCCAGCGATTGTCTCCTCCGAAGCGTTTTTTGAGTGCAATCGCGGAACTGTTGTGACAGTCGTTGAAAACGAGACAACTCTTTGATTGATAACTGACTTAATATGAGTCCCAATATGTCATCGCATAAGACATCACTTCCAGTGGTGGACAATGAATTCATTGGTCCGCTCTTTGTTTGTTTCAAATCTTTTTGTTTTACTTCTTCAGTACTTTTGGGAATGGATTTGATTTGAATTTTATAACCGTTTTGAGGATTGAAATAATGCTTTAATTGATAATTAAATGAATACTTTTTAAATGTTAACATTTGTATTCAAAAGGCGTGAAAATTTGCATTTCATTATTAAATGAATGCAATAATTAATTTCAATTCATGTCATTTATTTAATTGCAATTTAATTGTCAATTATTTTGTTTCATACATACATTTAATTAATAAATAATTATCACAATATTTTAATGTTATATAATATGTCCATTTAATTCTGTTAATCCTAATCTTATCCATTTTTGTTTTAACCATTTGAAAAATGGTATCATTTAATTAAATCATAATTAAATTGAAAAAACATTTACTCAGCAAAAGTATTCTAGAGATCATTGAATACCGTTCAGGCAATTAATCAATAAAATGAAGTAATAAATGCCTTAAAAGTTATTTAAAAGATATTTTTACAAAATAGTCACAAAATATTTTTGAATAAAAATTATTTCATTACATATTATTTTCAATTTTATCGCAAATTACAAACAAAATTCAATGTAAAACATAAGTTATTGTGAAATTTGGCAAAAATATTTTGATAGAAATTTCCAAATTTATAATCAATTATCAGAAAAATATAATAACAGTTAGGGTTATCTGCGATACACATAAACACTAATGAAATTTTATAATTGCTTTTGAATTATTAAAACAAAATAATATTTAATTAATGATTTATTTTATCGCAAAAATCGCATAATTATAGTGTTATCCGTATTTGGAGAGTATTTTTTAGAAAGTTAATTTTGTTTAAAATAATTTTCAAAATTAATGGGTTAAATAAATAAGGATCACTTGCATTCATATTTCATTCCGATTAAAATAACTCAAACAGAATATAATTTATTCTCAAATATACTGTACTTCAAAAATAAATCATTTACACAATAAATCATATATCACTTTCAATGGTATAGACTTATCATTCATTTCCATTGCTTGTCATGCATTACAATCCGTATAAATTATCTCATATTTAGACATAATATAACATTAGTAAAGAATTTCTTAAATAGATGTCTATATATCTAGTAAATACTGCAACAAATGATATAAATCACGACAGTAATACATGTATTAGTTTATAAGACCAAGGTGATTATAGGAAGTGATTACAAGAAAATTGCAAGTTTTAACTACTAGAACAAAAGTGTTATTGTTATTTAATGAAAAGTTTTTTTATTTTATATCAAATACATTTGTGATAGCATTTTGATGGCCAAACATCTATTTTTACTGATAATTATTAAAACATTGTTTTAGTTTCCAAATTGTTTGTAATTTTGCAAGATTACCAAAATATGTGTACATTGCTGTACATAAATCAGTTTTACCCAGAATTTAATATTTATACAATTTAAACCCAATGTAAAACATATAACATATTTTATTAGTTTTGCTAACATTCTCTGTTTGTTTGCATATATTTTCAAAGCTAGAATAAATTTTTATAATTTTGGTAAACATTTTAAAACAAACATTAAATTTTAAAATCTATTTGTGACAGTTCTTGTATTTGATGGCATTTTGTGGTCAGACTGTCAATGGATTGCGTGTCAAACGTATTCCTCATTACTTTCAGTGACCGGATGTTTGGCGGCAGACAATCGACGAGTAGAACCGATGAGATCGACATGTAATAAATGTGAAGACTTTGAAGAGATGTCATCTCTCGTATGATATCTGCCATATATGTCACGTATTTCTTATCGATATAACCAATGGTTATGTGTCTGACATTTGCCAACAGTTCTGCCCATTGTCTCGAAGTATATCTCTTCATATCGTTCTTAAAGAAAGGGAACTCAAAGAAGCAAATCTCCCGAAGATGTGGCAAATGTTTGACAATGTCTTTCATTGTCTCAAATGTGATTCTAGTGCGTCGAATGTATAATCTCTGAACTCGTGGTAACTTCTTGAGCACTGGGACGTTGTCTTTGCTGTCTTTGCCGTTAAACCCGTTACTGATATCAATGGCCTTCAGATCAATAGAGCGAGTGATGTATTCGACGTTTACTTCCTTACTATAGTCCGGGCGTTTGTCAAATCCAATGGCCAGCGATTGTCTCCTCCGAAGCGTTTTTTGAGTGCAATCGCGGAACTGTTGTGACAATCGTTGAAAACGAGACAACTCTTTGATTGATAACTGACTTAATATGAGTCCCAATATGTCATCGCATAAGACATCACTTCCAGTGGTAGGCAATGAATTCATTGGTCCGCTCTTTGCTTTGTTTCAGAACTGTTTGTTTCACTTCTTCAGTACTTTTGGGAATGGATTTGAATATTAGAAACCGTTTTTGAGGATTGAATTTGAAATAATGTTATTATTGATAATTAAATGAATACTTTTTAAATGTTGACATTTGTATTCAAAAGGCGTGAAAATTTGCATTTCATTATTAAATGAATGCAATAATTAATTTCAATTCATGTTATTTATTTAATTGTCAATTATTTTGTTTCATACATACATTTTAATCAATAAATAGTTATCACGATATTTTAATGTTATATAATTTGTCCATTTAATTCTGTAATCCTAATCTTATCCATTTTTGTTTTAATTATTGTATGTAAAAATGTTATCATTTAATTAAATCATAAGTAAATTGAAAAAACATTTACTCAGCAAAAGTATTCTAGAGATTATTGAATACCGTTCAGGCAATTAATCAATAAAATGAAGTAATAAATGCCTTAAAAGTTATTTAAAAGATATTTTTACAAAATATTGACAAAATATTTTTGAATAAAAATTATTTTATTACATATTATTTTCAATTTTATCGCAAATTACAAACAAAATTCAATGTAAAACATAAGTTATTGTGAAATTTGGCAAAAATAATTTGATAGAAATTTCCAAATTTATAATCAATTATCAGAAAAATATAATAACAGTTAGGGTTATCTGCGATACACATAAATACTAATGATATTTTATAATCGCTTTTGAATTATTAAAACAAAATAATACTTAATTAATGATTTATTTTATCGCAATAATCGCATAATTATAGTGTTATCCGTATTTGGAGAGTATTTTTTAGAAAGTTAATTTTGTGTAAAATAATTTTAGAAATTAATGGGTTAAATAAATAAGTATCACTTGCATTCATATTTCATTCCGATTAAAATAATTCAAACAGAATATAATTTATTCTCAAATATATTTCTAAAATAAATAATTTACACACAATTTATGTCACTTTCAATGGTATAGACTTATCATTCATTTGCATTGCTTATATTAGCCATGCATTACAATCCGTATAAATTCTCTCATATTTAGACATAATATAACATTAGTAAAGAATTTCTTAAATAGATGTCTATATGTCTAGTAAATATTGCAACAAATGATATAAATCACGACAGTAATGTTAGTTTATAAGACCAAGGTGATTATAGGAAGTGATTACAAGAAAATTGTAAGTTTTAACTAATAGAACAAAAGTGTTCTTGTTATTTAATGAATAGTTTTTTCATTTTATATCAAATACGTTTGTGATAGCATTTTGATGGCCAAACATCTATTTTACTGATAATTATTAAAACATTGTTTTAGTTTTCAAATTGTTTGTAATTTTGCAACATTACTAAAATATGTGTACATTGCTGTACATAAATCAGTTTTACCCAGAATTTAATATTTATACAATTTAAACCCAATGTACAACATATAACATATTTTATTAGTTTTGCTAACATTCTCTGTTTGTTTGCATATATTTTCAAAGCTAGAATAAATTTTTATAATTTTGGTAAACATTTTAAAACAAACATTAAATTTTAAAATCTATT